AAGGAAGTGGATCAAGATGGATTAGTGAACTAGGCTCAAGCCCAAAAATAGATTGCTTGATATGATCAGCCTAATTCAATTAATAATTTGACGCTCTATCAACTAATGTGAGATCCATCTGAGCCACATGCATGACGCATAATTCATTGGTATAATAATAGTTCTCCACGTTTGATCCTTAAATTTATGTGATGATCGGACTCTGAAATAGAAGTTGTCTTCAATTAGGTAATTATTTATGAACTGTCTCTGAAATATGAGCTGATCCAAAGTAAGTGATGGTTTATGAATGACCTTTTAAATGTAGTCAACTTTAAAGAGGTGATGACTTACAAATTACTTCATGTCAAGATTTCAAGTAAATAATTTACTTATAATGCGGACTAAATCATCCCGAAATACAATACAATATCTCCAATACACGAATAATAATCATCTCGTAGGTGAGAAATAAAAATACAATTTCCCATCTGAGGTGATATATGACATAAATAATAATCATCTTGTAGGCAATGCATCTCGCAAAGTGAGGAATAACAATCATCTGTCAAAGGTGAAATAAATAAAATAATCATCTCAAAAGATGAGGCATATTGCTAGGCGAGGATAAATAGAAAAATCATTTCATGATATCAGTGGATGGTACCCCTTACGGTCAACTTTTTTAAGCCGATATATCTTTGAGGTTAAGGATGATGCCCCCTTCAATAGGTGAGTGGCTCCCCAACGCATATGCGTGACAGTATCATCTCACAAGGTAAGTAATTTCATGAAATGGAAAATAGGCATCTCATGAAACGAGGAATAAGCATCTCGTTTGGCAGGGAATGAACATATTGCGAGTCGAGAAATATACATCCCTTGTGATCAGACGTCTTGTGGAGCAAGGAATATATAATAAAAAAATATTGTATGATGCAAGAGGATTTACGAATTCGCCTTCAATAATTACGGACTTGGTCCGCCTTCAATAGTTTTCTAAAGAAGTAGGGCATAGATCTATCATAACTATTCTTGAGAAACACCAAGATGAAGATAATAACGGCAGCAAAGTTAGAGGTGGATATGAAGGATTATGGATGTAGTACCATCTCCCATGCACTTCAAAGCCCATCTCGTAACTTGGGTTTTCAATTTAAAAAGAGCAATCTTATTAAGACGAATAATAGAATATGCTTTTGAGTCATGTCAACTTAGATCATTCGATTGGACATTAAAATTTTATTGATTTGAATAAGTAAAACTATTTTCATTAAGTTGAGAATTGAGAGCAAATTCTAACATAGTACAATAGCATGGACACAACCAATCATGCCACTTGTATATATTATTTGACATTATTGTTAACATTGTATCACGTATCACACATGATTAGACAGTTTTTGAATTCAACACACTTTCCCGCCAAAGTATGTTCGAATTTGTACACAATGTCATCTAAGTTGTCATCCGTGGAATGTACAAGAAGCTTTATTTGGACCCGACTATTCAAACTTTAATCCTCAAAATTTATTGAATCGGACCGATTCGTTTTTATTCTCGTAGATTTTTTTTGATAAAAAGGATCATTCATCTTTAATCAGAAGGTCCTCAAGATATAGAGATATGTTTGTTCCATGTAGTATTCGTATGGATGTTGAAACTTTAGGGCCTGTTTGGGCCTGATTTTATCACCCAAAAAATTGATTTTTTGACCGTTATTTCACTATTCCAGTCGTCATATTTGACTTCTTCTCTCACAGGTGAACCCTACTTTTCTCTTAACGGTCAAAAAATCAATTTTCAAAATCACTCCCAAACAGGCTCTTAAACTAAAGAAGGCCAGTAAACATAGGTTATAAATCAACATTGATAAATCATTTTAAAAATTTTTACTCTTTTTTTTTATATTGAACTAGAAATTAAAGTATATTTTTAATTTGGAGAAATACGTGTTCTACATCATTTATAAAAATTATTATTGACCAATAATTACATGGATTTATTTTGTATTTAAACGAATAAAATAAGGATATGAGTGTCTTACTCAATTGTTGATACTTCTATGAGCGTCTCACGTTACCGTTGAACAATTGCATTGAGTTTTTGTTTTACTTTTTCTAATACATAAAATAAGTAACGCAAAAATGAGTGTCCTAAGTGCATTTTCTAGCAAATTAAGGGAAACATAACAAATATATATATATATATATATATTTGATTTGCCTTTCCATTTTGACATCATTGAATTTTCAAATAAATTTATAGATAGAATTATAAAATTTTAGATGCTAATATTTTTCAATTATGCTACAAGTACACCTATTTTTATATCATTTTTGACAGCTCTCACACATAACACGAGTTGACCCCTCGATTAAAATAATCGTGGGGCCCACTCGTTTGAGTGGACTGTCAAAGTGAGTGTACAGTAGGTGCTGTACACTTAGCTTAATTCAATGTTCTTTTATTGGACAATCTCATTACATGTATACTAACTTTTACACTCTTAACTCTAGTGGACAAGTGACTTTATTCTTTACTGTGAAGTTTCGACTGGCATGTCAAGTTCGGATAAAACTTGACCATACACGTTCATTTTCTTAGCCCAACAAGTTTCGACAGGTCCTATTTTGACGCTTCTTATATAAAAATAATGGGGCCAAACTCTGAAAATATAAAATCATGGGGTACAATATGCAATTACACTAAAGTCCTCCAATTGACGTGGCAAATACTGATAAAACTCGACCGTACGTGTTGATTTCCGAACCGGATAAAATACACGCTTTCAGTTTCTTCATTTCTTCTATCCAAAAATAGCAAAATATTAACAACCCAAATTCTTCTATAGATAACTTCGTCCATGCACGTTGTTCTTGTCCACAGAACTATAATATTTTGAAAGATTCGTATTCTACTGGTTTATTGTATCGATATAAAAAAATTTCGAGATTTGTGTCCAAAAATGGCTGATATTTACTGTTCGGAGTGTAAACGGCCGACGGAAGTGGTGTTCGACCACTCGGCGGGGGACACCGTGTGCTCGGAGTGCGGCCTGGTTCTGGAGGCGCACTCCATTGACGAGACCTCAGAGTGGAGAACTTTTGCGAATGAGGTCGGGGATAATGACCCGGTCCGTGTTGGTGGGCCAAATAATCCTTTGTTGGGTGATAGTGGGCTTTCGACGGTGATTTCGAAGCCTAATGGGTCAACGGGCGAGTATTTGAATTCGTCGTTGGGTCGGTGGCAGAACCGTGGGTCGAACCCGGATCGGTCTCTCATTCAGGCGTTCAAGACTATTGCTACCATGGCTGACAGGTTTGTGTTATCTTTGGCATATTTTGGTTTTTTTTTTTTTTTTTTTTGGCTACACATTTAAAATTATTATTTTTGGACATTTCAATAGAAGGGTTTTTATGTTTATAGCTTTGTTATTACAAATTCTGAAATTTTCAATAATTTTCTTCTCATTTCTCAGGTTGGGTCTTGTTGCAACAATAAAGGTTCTTACTTTTCTCTATTTTGATTATTGCAGTTGAATTCAGATATGCTACAAATGCATTGGTGTCTTTGCGTGTGTGTACGCGCGAGTACGTGCTAGAGATTGTTAAAAAAAAAAATAATAATTCTTGGTGTTGTATATGGTTTGTGTGTGTGTTCGTAACTTGGAATCGTTTACATGAAATTTTTTATTTTTATTTTTAGCAATGCGGAATCACGTTAATATGTTAATTTTATTTGATTGCTGCTTAAACTAGAACCCTTTATTCTAGTAGGTTGAAGCATTTTTAGGTCTACACAATACATGCTCTGACCATGTAAGTTGGCATTCATTAATTTATCCTAATGAATGCCACGCCACGTCCACTTTTTGCCATATATCCGTAATTTATGTTATTCAATTTTCTGTTCATGATATAATAGACATTTTGTCCTTTAATGACCCAACGATCAATTCATAAATCTATTTCCATAGAACTCACACCCCACTAGTGGAACTGTGAAAGCCTATGGCCGCAAGGAGAGATCATCTCTTAAGACGAGCCCAGATCTACTGATCCGAACTTGCTGTCCCCAATACATTTTTGACAGCTCTGCACATTACCCTTGGTGTCTTCCTATCTGCTTTGCTAAGAAGAGGTGATGTGTCGAGGTGTCAAAAATGTATTGGGAGAATAGCAACTTCAGGAGAGCAGGTTTCAACTCTCGTAAGATATGGCAAACCTGAAAAAATATGTATGTCCTTAATGAAGTCATTTGCACTGGAAAATTAGAGCAATGCTATTCATCTAGATGATCTTCATTTGTCTATGGGGCAATAGACAGTGGGTGACTGCCACATCTTCCAATGAAGATAAATGCATTCCAACTTCATTTGGCAATGTGGCAGCAGCAACTAATGATGATCATCACTTTTCATGAATAGCATTATTTGGAAAATTAGGGTGGCTTTTTGATTTGACTGACTGAGTAGTTTTGTTAATCTAGTGATTGATTTTATGTCTTGATATTTTGGAGAGGTTGCTGATTTAATATACATGAACCCGTGATTGCCTATGACTCTGGTTTTAAGGATCGAGCAAATGAAATATATAAGAAGGTAGAAGATCAAAAGCCTCTTAGAGGACGAAATCAAGATGCTATTTTGGCTGCGTGCATCTACATTGCTTGTCGACAAGAGGATAAGCCACGTACTGTAAAAGGTATGCTGTAATGGCTGCAAATTTTAGCTTTTTCACAGGACTTAACTTTGTTACTATCTCTGAACATGTGGCTTGCAAACAGAAATTTGTTCTGTGGCCAATGGAGCCACCAAAAAAGAGATTGGTCGAGCAAAAGAGTTCATTGTGAAACAGCTGGAGATCGAAATGGGCCAGTCTATGGAGATGGGAACAATTCATGCAGGGGATTTTTTGGTGAGTTTGTACTGAACACTTTACGCCCCACCCCCGTGGTCCCCTTTTTTCTCAAGAAGACACCACAGCTCACCCAGATGCATTCTGTCATCAAATCACTGTATTGCAGAGACGTTTTTGCTCACATTTGGGCATGACCAATTTAGCTGTCAAAGCTGCTCAAGAAGCAGTACAAAAATCAGAAGAGCTGGATATAAGGTTCTTTCAGTTTTCCCTTGTTTTGCTTTAAATTTTTTTCAGCTAATTGTTTATTTTTTCTTTTAGTGGCAAAACATACCAGATACCGTTCCACTTGATCATGTTTTTTGACCGCCTAAAACTTGAAAATGACGTTATATCCAATACAAACACGAGAGTTGGAAATTTTACGCGATTAAGAATTCTGTCTCCCCTTTCTGTGTTTGACAGGAGAAGCCCCATATCCATAGCAGCTGCAGTAATTTACATAATAACACAACTCTCAGATGACAAGAAACTTCTCAAAGGTCAGAACATTCTATTTGGTCACTTTCATCTTCATGTGGTGTTGTGAATATATAGTTGCTTTAGATTTCCCAGTAGTTTAATAATTAGCCTTACGTAGTGGAGAAAAAAGATTCTTATAACCGACAGCTAAATTTTTTGGAGCAAGGCTTAGTTCTCGTTGGTAGTGCTTTTAAATGCGTATAAGCTACAAGTCCTACAGAATGTGTGGATAATGAGAATTAGTAACTTGTGGGTCCTACGAAATCCGTGGATAAAAAGTATGCTTAACCGGATTAAATTATTATCTAAGCTTTGCCTCTTTAGTTTGTTTGTTGTTGATGTTAACTTCTAGTTTGTGCAGATATTACACTGGCCACAGGAGTAGCAGAAGGCACAATTCGCAATTCATACAAGGATCTCTATCCATACACTTCAAGAATCGTACCAAGTTGGTATGCGACAGAGGATGCTCTTAGGAATCTTTCCAGCCCTTGAGTTCTTGATCCTGGCAAAGTTGCATCCCCTGATGAAGGTTACGGCTACTTCTGTACATTTGGATGATGTTAGAAACTGGGTTCTAATGTAGTTCTAGTAGATGTTTGTAAGTTAGTACAGAGTTATGGGTCTTGGTTCTCTTGGATGATAACGTTATTGTACATGTATTCGTTTACGTAGGTTATCTATTTTGCTGAAGTTTGTCCAACCCATTGCTCTTCATTTAAGCGCATCGTTGAATCTCAAGAAGCCTATTCTTATCATGTAGCGTATATTAAGAACCCAAATACGAGCGTCAATCTGATTTTATGCATATCAGAACACAATAGGGTATACGCCAACGAAAATTGGTGTTATCAATTAGAAGTGTAGGCTAGACAAGCATGGATTCAGGTAAGCATATAAAAAGCATGTTCGGCATAGACTTTTCGAAATGAAAATGATTATTTTGGAGAATGTACGGTTGAAAAGTGAAAAAAATTATAGGTTCCATAAAATTGAAGGGTTGAAAATAATTTTGAAGAAGAATGATTTTAGAAAACTCCATGCCAAACAAGCCTTAAACCTTTCAGATAAATAATGGCAGAAAATGCTGTTTCACAGAAACTGAACAGAATACATGCTTTACGCCACACCAGGCTCCCATCCGAATCAAAAGCTCAATGTAAAGAGCAAATACTTGACAATCCATTAGCAGTAACATATAATCGAAGATAAGTTATAAATATCATGGAGAAAGGAAATACAAATCCTTGTCAAAAACAACAATACATGGTTAAATTTTAGCATTGATCCACAACTATCAGAACTGTTTCTAGACACTAGAAATCCACTATCCTTGAGAAGCCGCTAACACCATTAGAATCTCCTCCTAGGACTTCTAGAACGATGGCCGCGAGGTGATCTGCAAAAACAATTAGAAAATAGACAAGATTATGTAACTGTAATATGAGAAATGACTTGAACTCTTATTAAGAAATTAAATTTGTGAAAAACATTGAACTCAGAGTTGCTTCTCATTTTCCATCCTAAAATCTGTGGTTACCCTTTCTATTGAAGCTTTTCAACTTTGCTGGCACCAACCATGTCTGTATGGAAAATATGGATTTTGCCATTCAAACAGAGCCAATGACAGGCCCTGTTGACAGGCCGAGGTATTGCCAACACCTCGGCCCTTAATTATTATGCTGCGGGCCCCATGAAATTCAAGATCAAGGGCCAAGGTGTCAAACACCTTGGCCCTGGATTTAAACCCGGGATTTAATCCTGGGTTTTGTAGCAGGTCTGGGAAAATATATTGGCATATGCTAACATGTGGACGTATCTGTCCTTTTCTGGGACCCGAGGGGTTGATGTTGGGATGGCCATCAATTTTAGAAAGATTTTCATCCCTTCTATGAAACTATTTCAAATAAACAGCATCTATTAAACTATTACACGTTTACTAAATCATTCTTTCAACAAAATACAGAAGTTTGAAATCCATTGTGAAGTCATATTTTGACAATAAAAACTAGTTGTAAGGCAAAAACCCCTATTCTCCTATGACATATACTTTTCAAGGGAAGTATAAATAAACAACCAACTCGCAATGGAATTTAAAATTGAAAAGGAAGATGTACACATCAAACAACAGATAACTGATGGCATATCTCATAATTACATAATGTCCATATCCTTGATCAAATAAACGAGTTGGACAAATATGAAAATCTAAGTTTCAGGGATGTTTTATCAATAGAATCATCATAGAATAAATTTCAACTCTCTGTAAGGTTGAGCAGTCATCTCTTTCCACTGTGTATATCAATTTTCCTAAAATCCAAACGTTAACAATAAAGACCCCATAAACCATCCGCTCCATTTGAAATGATCGAGTAATATGTTAACTTTTTTTTTTTTTTCTTTTTTCTTTTTTCCTCTCTCTCTCTCTCTCTCTTTTTCTATAACACACACTTTCGTTCCCATTTTGTCGCTCAGCCAAAATCATTTCTACTAAGTGTTGGTACTGAGTCTTTTGATGGGAACTAAAAGGGTGATTGTTATGGAAACTCTAAGATATTTATGTTCTCCAATTTTATCATCATTTACTATGAGCAAAGTTGAATAAGGCATCCAAATGAAGTTTGAACAATTATGAGAATGCAATACTGATAAAAACAATAACAAATACATAAGACATGTACCTCCTCCTCATATTCCTGCTCCTGAACGGACCTTTGCTGAATGCCCAATCAACAGTTATGGCCTGGGTGAGCAGTTCCGTCCCATCCATTTCACTTATAGCTTTCTGTGCTTCCTCAAAGTTCTCATATTCAATTAGTGCATAACCCTAGAGAACAGGTCAACATGTCAAGTTAGTTAAAACTAACTAACAGTGAACCACAGCAAATTGAGGTACACTTTCACTAAAAAAGTAAATGACCAGCTCAGTGAAGCTTATTTTACACAGATTGTTGTTCAACAAGACTTCACTAGAAGAACAGAAATACACAGTATCCATAAATACATAGTATCTTTATTTAAGCGCACATTTGCTAATGTTCTTACTGTGGTAACAAATTTATTTAACTATCTTTACTCTCATCCTAAGATCAAAAATCTCAGTTAAAGTAATACACATGTTGCCATAAAGTGGAAGTTACTTTAAGCTGTGATTTAAAAAAATAAAAAAGATCCTGAAATGGAAATATGTGATTTTATGGGACACAGGAGCTTGAAGAATCCTACCAAAGCTGGCAGGGTTCTATCACATCATGACTTCCAGTTTTTCTTTTGATTTTTTATAGGTCCACTTTCATTACTACCATAAGATTCCTTTCTTTTTCTTTGCAAGACTTATCTTTAGTCCAACGTTCTTTCATCCAAAAGAAGACGTGCTGGCATGCAGTTCGATTATGAGTACTAGTCTTTTTGTAAATTATAAACAGGCCTCGTTTGGGAGACCGTTATTTCACTATTCCAGCCGTAATTCTTGACTTCTTCTCTCACAGGTGCCCCCCCCCCTCCACTTTTCTCCTAAAGGTCAAAAAATCAATTCTTAAAATCACTACCAAACAGGCCCATATTACCTGCTTTGATTCTTTATATAAATAATATCATTATACCCTTGTAACAACTATCATTCGGCTAATGTATCAGGGTCATAGCTCCCATAGGAGACCCTTTTGGTGTATAAGTTTCATCTTTTTCTTTAAATTGAATAGCTCCCTAGTTCTTACAGGACCCACCCAACGCCCAAAATATTGAGTTTCTCAGGTGTGCATATGGGGAGGCTCATTACTTCAACTAGTCCCCATATTCCTCGAATGAATCTCTTAATTGTTGAGAA